TACGACGAGGTAGGTCGATTGGGGTACGGTTTACGGTTAAAGTAAGTAACGAACTACTACTTTACGTTACGGCGTCACTAGCGTGGTAGGTCCCCTCCTCTCTCTCTCTCTCTCTCTCTCTCTCTCTCTCTCTTCTTTTGGGTGCGGCCCATAACATGGACCACAGCTGTACAACGTGTTCCCTTCATGTGATGAGTTCTTTTAGACCTCAAAATGTTCGACCTTTGAGTCAGTCAAATTCCCATTGGAAATGACGAAATAATTTGCATTTCTCTCATTTCACATAAAATTGCATCGCTCTCTTTGGACTTGGACAATTATGGCGGAGCATGTATATGATGCGCTCTTGGGAGCATAGTTTGCTCCTACTCCCTCGTTCAACTTACGATTTCTTTTTAATCTGAAATTTTTAGTAACCGCTTTAGAATTATTAGATAATTATTTTTAATAAAAAATTAAAATTTGAGTTTTCTAATACTTAGATCTCACTCTTTAAAAATTAGATGATTTATATTCAATCTTGAGACAATATTTTTTTCACGTACTTAAAGTGTGCACTTAGGAATTTTTTTTTTTCATTAATGGTATTCTATTTGTTAAAGAGGTTACAACCTCAAATTTTGAGGTCTTAAAATTAATCCCAGGGTAGGGTTTTACCTGAGGGAATAAATAGACAGTATACTCCAAAGAAAATATCTTTTAGGATGATAATATGCATCTGGGTCGTACTGCTTTTGTCCTCTTATGATTCAAAGTGCAATTTAAAACTACCTATTGTTGCTTTGGCCCTTTATGAATCGAGGAGTCATAGATTGACTAGAATGTTACATGAAAGGAAAACCAAGGAAGATAACGAATTCATTCACAAGCTGCATGTGTAAAATGATGTATGTTCTATGATTTCAGGGCTTATTTTATTTGGTGGGTATGCTTGATTTCGCCGGAGCACACGATGTACTTACTAATTTGGCCCTCGGAGTATTTTTTTCGGGGCAAGCTTTTTATGCTTTCTTTACGGCATAAAATTTTTATATTTCTCCTTATCCAACCGTCTATTCTGAATAAAGGGTTGAGATAATTCTAATCACAATATCACGTCTTTATACTATTTTATTTTTAATTTTTTCTATAAAATATTTTGACATTAATTTTTTAGCGTCCACTCCTCTCTTCAACTCGCACCATTAAATAATTTTTAAAAAAAATATTCTCAATAAAATAAAATATCTAAATTCCCTTGAAAGTATCACGGGTATTTTGGTCATGGTATTTTATCAAAAAAAAATTTAATAGTTGTTTTAGGTGCGTCCCATTGATATGATGACACATACTAAATTACATATTCATATAATTTGTAAAAAAAACTAAAAATAAAATACTCTGAGGCGTCGGATCTAGATCAAACGGTTAGTGGCTCACTTGATCTAAATTTGACGTCTAGATGGTGTGGGGTGTATATATCTTCTATGGAGTAGGAAAAATATAGAAATATTTCTCTTTTATCCTAAAATTTGGTTTATATTTTAGAAAATTAAAAAATACTAAGACTAAAAATTGCAACTTGAGTGTGTAAACAGTTTAAGAGTTTAATATATGGGCATCTCTTTTTTAGTCACATAAAAAAATACAAATGAATAAAGTCTTTCTCAAGGCTGATCCCCGTCTCTATGATTATAATCTCAAATAAAAACCTTAATGTCGATGGAAAGTCTATGGACCCCCTAAGATAAACAAAGGACGTCTAACGCGCGCTGCATATTTTTTATTCTATAAATTGCTACATTTATCCTTTTTATTTGTTCTAACATGCTTGTCATCCTTGCCTTTTTTTTTGACTCCCTCACCCATGAACCCCTTCGTCTCTCTCTCTCTCAAGCTCCCTTGAGCTCTCATATATTATTCTTATGTAATAAAAATTCTATTTAAATCATGGGGTTAATAGAAAAAAGAAAAAAAAAGTAAGAAAGTAGTTAAACATCTTTTTCTTTTAACTTGAAAAAAGTCAATAAATATTTTATGGATGTAAAGACTCATTGGGGATAACAATTATGGAGGGGCTATACATCTTTTTCCCATAAAATGTCTACTGGAGGGACCATATGTCTGAGGTATTATCTGATCTCTAGTTAGAACTATTGTTAACTGGGTCTTAAATTTAGTAAATAGTTCGAACAATCATTGAGTGATTTGAGGGTCTTGAGTATTTTCCCAGCTAAATTTACAACTAAGTACCGTAAAAATAAACATTCGCTTATAAAAAAGCACTGTAGAGATTGTTGAAGATATGGTATTATTTAGTGCATAGTATCATCTATAGTTAGTGTAGTGTATAACCATATACAATAGTGTAGTGTATAACCATATACAATAGGTCTATCATGTATGGGAAAAGTTTATATAAGATGCTACCTTATAATGTAGAACTACGGATGCCTCTCAAAAATCCATTCGAAAAAAGTCGTTTTAATGTTGAAAAACCCTTTGCTTGATCATCTCGACATTGAGACGTATGACTATGAAAAATAAGAAGATTTAAATCTCATAAATGCATTTTACAACATATTATCTACACCGTCTATTTTCAAGATTTTCATATGTTTATAGATCTACTTGATTTTAACCATTTTTAAAATTTAAAATTTAAAATTTTATAATTAGATATAAAAATAAATTTTGAGATAATCCTAATAACATTTTACATCAAAATTATATACCATGATAAAATTTGAAAGTACACCCTACCTCTACACTTACGGGATGCATCCGTATGCCAACTGCACCCGGTTACAAAATGTGAGGCCGTGTATATTGTGGAACTCTATCTTGCTATGCAAGTTAGATTGTACCCCATCTTGCTACACAAGTAATCTTGTGTTTTATATATATGTTCATAATAGTGAATGAATATAAAAGTTTTATTTTTCCCCTTTTTATTGTTAGACGAACATAAGATGGGCAAATAGCCGTTTCAATATTCGAAGTAAGGGTTAAATAGGAAGAAAAAAAAAAAAAGACAAAAGGAGTGTACTCGTGATATTCAAAAACAGAAAATGGTTGATAGGGCTGCTTCCCTGTCAAAATAATTGTCTAGACAATCCATTTTGCCCTAAAATAAGTGTTCATAGATCCACAAGATTGATACTATTATATGAGTTTCAAATTTTATGGTTGGTGTTACAAATTGATTTTAGAGCCATCATGAAAAAATTTATTACCAAAAGTGCTTTTAAAATTTATGGTTAGTGTTAGAAATTGATTTTATAGCCATCATGAAAAATTTTATTACCAAAAGTGCTTTCTATACAAGGATTTGAGGTGAGGCTTTAGTTTATTTTCATAGAGCCTAGGCCTTATAAAAACTTCATCCTTAAAATATTTAAGGATATTTTTAAAATTACAAATTTTAAATGAGAGTAGCCAAACCCAATTAATCGAAAAAATGCATGATGATAACAAATTTTAAGTGAGATTTACAAAAATATTCTCAAAATTTTAGTCATACTACCCTTAAATTTCAATTATTGATAATTTTAAGTTTTAGTCATACCATCATCTTTGACAATTTATTATTGGTGGGAAAATTTTGATCATACATCCCTTAAAAGAGTTTGACAACCAAGTATTGGTGGGGGACGCGCGAATGCGTACCCACCAGCCACAAATTATGACGTGCAGTCCCCCCCTCGGGGAGATGCTAGCTATAGTGACCCACCTCCCTGGTGCAATGGAAGCAGTCCCTCTAGGCCATGAGCCTTCTTGTTCATCGATTGACCCGCCCAGGTATGTATGCATTCTCTCTTCTTTGTACTACCCTCATACCCACTCTCTTCCTTTTCTCTTCAATGTGGGACTAATTTTTTCTTCTATTTTAACTCTGTCTAATGTAGTCGGTTAAAATTCGTTAAATATCAGTACAAAAGGTTTCTCTCTTCACCGAATTAGAAGATCAATAGCACATCTCTTTTATAGAACAATTTCATTTGAATTGAATTATTTTTATGAGGTAAATTTGATCTAGTTCACACTACAAAAGTTCATAAAAGATGATTCTGATCTCTCCAAGAGAATAGCAAGTGCATTAATTATTTGGAACAACATTTGCAAGGAACCAATTTCATAAAATTAACCAAGCACACATTTACATCAATGAGAAGCACATAGGCCTCAATACTATACAATTGCAAAGTCCCTTCCACTACAAATGAACAACTTATTAACATAAATCACAATCCCTCTTAAGAATGAATTGAATATAAAAAAGAAAAAGAACTTAGTTTCCAATACCAATTGAACTTTCCATTGCTAGCATTGGTTATGGCACTTGCACCAGTCAATTGGGCACTGAGCACCTTGCCCTGATCTGCCCTGCTGATCCAGTAAGAGGTTCAATGTCCCCCATCTTCACCATAGCCGCCGCAAAGTCCGAGTAGAAGGCGCTTCGACTGTTACTATAAGACCTCACTATGTCATCAGTTGATCCACCATTAAACAACACTTGATCTGATTCCAGCAAACCCTTCTTCCGCATCAAAATCTTGAAGTAGTTGTTGTCAAAGCTGGTGGGAGTAACAAGGTCGAGAGGTGCGAGGTTCGAGTCCCCGCCATTTAAAGGGCAGCGACCACGTCTTTTTGCTAGCAAAGCCGGAGTCGATGTTGGTGTGGTTGTATGCTCTGTCTCTGAATATGAAGCACTGGGCTTGGCCTATGGTGTGTGCACCAGAGA